ATCTAGGCTTAATAAATATAAAAGGATGTGCAAAGTTTGAGGCACATTTTTGCGGTATCAATGTGTATATATCATCTTTAGTCATAAGGCTGTGGGTATACAAAATACAAAATTTTATGGTGGAATTATGGCAACTTTGGCTGAAAAACTTAAGGGGACCCCCCATTCTCGGAGTCAATTTTTTTTTGATTTAATTCAAAATACTGTTTTACCTCTATACATAAAATAATGTTTCCCCATCCATTGAATAATGGTCTCCAATCCATAAGAGACTGGTATTCCATCCATAGAAGTATGGTCTCCTATCCATAGAAGACTGGTATTCCGTCCATGGAAGACTAGTCTCCTATCCATAGAAAACTGTTATCCTATCCATAGATGAATGGTATCCTATCCATAGAAGAAGGGTCTCCTATTCGTAGAAAACTGTTCTACTATCCATAGAAGAATTGTCTCCCAGGCATAGAAAAATAGTCTGCTATACATAGAATACTCCTCCTCTCCTGACCTCCTACCGATGGAAGACTGTTCTCCTAACTATAGAAGGATGGCCTCCTATCCATAGAAGACTGCTATACCATCCATGGAAGACTAGTTTCCTATCCATAGAAAACTGTTCTCCTATCCATAGAAGAATGGTATCCTATCCATAGAAGAAGGGTCTCCTATTCATAGAAAACTGTTCTACTATCCATAGAAATATGGTCTCCTATCCATAGAAGACTGATATCCTGGTCATAGGAGAATGATCTCCTATCTTTAGAATAATGGTATCCCATCCATAGAAGAATGGTCTCCTAGCCATTGAAGGCTGGTCTCCTATACATAGAAGAATGGTCTCCTAGCGATAGAAGACGGACTTTCTATCCATAGAAGGATGATCTCCTTACGATAAAAGAATGGTCTCCTCTTCATAGGAGACTTGTGTATATATATATATATATTTTTTTTTTGGGAATATTGGAGTGTACATTTTTGTTTGTGTATATAGCTTTGTATTTTTTTTAAACATGTGCTAAAGCCAATATCCTACTCTTCCTGTATACTATAGTGAAGGATATGTAGAAAAATATAAAGAAATTTGATTTTTATAAATGGTTTGACCTATGTCAAAATTAGGTTAATTTTGCATTTTTAAAAAATGCATTTTATAAAATTAGGCAGATAATTTTTTGAATTAGAGCTGATCCCTTTCAGTATAATTTAACGAAATTCTTTGTAGAAGTCCCAAATGTCCCCATAATACTCACCTTCACCTAATTACCATAATTAAAAAAATATTTTAAAATTATTTTTTTCATGTATTTCTTTATTTGATTCTTTTGGAATAATATGTTTGTTTGTTGTGTTGTGTTGGGTTTTCATTGTTTATTTGTTTTACATTTGTTTGTTTTTTTCTTTTTATTTAATTTTCATTTATAATTGAATTCAATTGTCGTTTTCATTTTCACATTTAATTATTATTTTTTTATTCATTTTGATTGAATACTAGAGGTTTGTTGCGAACAACAAACATATGTCATATCATATATATCTGGCGCTACATACTAACATATGTATGCAATATATATGTATACTTGTTTAATATGTGTTCTTTTGTTTTTGCTGCTTTAATTGCTATGTTTATATATATAATATAATCCTATAAATATTTACGAAAAATTAATAATCAATTAAATTAAATAATTTCCACTTAAATCGTAAAATCAGCTTATTTTTCATTTAAATATATATAATTTGTTATATTATACCTATGTTATATAATCGTAGAATATTTATATATATATATATATATATATAAAAAATAATATTTAAATCTGTGTTTATATATAAATTATTTTGTATGTAAAAAATATGGCTTAAAACAGTTTTTATTAAATTAATTTTAATTTTCAAAGTAATATAATTTAATTTATTATTTTATATTGGTTTGTTTGTTTTGCTTTCGTATTTGTTGTCTTCCTTTAGTAGTATTGTTTTTTTTTTTTTTTTTTTTTTTTTTTTTTTTAGTTAGTTTTATTTACAAAATATTATTTAACACTTATATTTAATTAAAAAGATGAAAACTATATTTAATATTTAGATTGTAGTATAAAAAAAGTTTTTTATTTTTTTCTTATTACCGGTATTGTTTGTTTTGCTTTTGTTGAATATTTTTTTAAAAATAAATATATAAAAAATAGTAAATTTTAAAAAGGGATAGCCTAAATTTGATTTTTTGTTTTTTTTTTCGAATTGATTTTTTGATGAATTAAAAAAGATTTTTGTTCAAAAATTTGTGAGATTTTTCAACATTTCAGAAGGGGTTTAAAAATAAAAATAATATTTGTTAATTCAAGAAATAATATTGATTATTTAAATCCAAAAATGTTAATAAGTTATACATCGAGATTTGTTTTGAAAATGTGTATGTGTGTGTGTTTTTTTTTTTTTAATTCCAATAATGGCAGTCAAATATTATTATTTTACATTTTTAACTATTTTGTTATATTTACATTTTTAGATTTTTATTACGCAAATCCAATGGCAATATTTGGTGAATTTTTCACAAAGTGAAGTTATAATAAAATTCTAAAATATTTTCTTTAAGGTCAAGGACATGTATAGATTTTTTAAAAATATATTTTCAAAAACAATGCGTGGATTTTCTAAAAATAATTTTTTTAAATACATTTTACAAGAAAAACAAAAAAATCAAATATGTCGATTTTTTTAATAAGATTTATTAAGATCCAGGCTAGCAGTGGATTTTTTAAAATATTTTATTAGAATCCAGAACCAGCCGTGGATTTTTTTTTAAATTCAGAACCAGGCGTGGATTTTTTTTGAAATCCAGAACCTGGCGTGAATTTTTTTTTAATTCAGAACCAGGCGTGGATTTTTTTGAGATCCAGAACCAGGCGTGGATTTTTTTAAGATCCAGAACCAGGCGTGGATTTTTTTAAGGTCCAGAACCAGGCGTGGATTTTTTTAAGACCCAGAACAAGGCGTGAATTTTGTTAAGATCCAAAACGAGGCGTGGATTTTTTTTTAAGATCCAGAACCAGGCGAGATTTTTTTTAAGATCCAGAACCAGGCGTGGATTGTTTTAAGATCCAGAACCAGGCGTGGATTTTTTTAAGATCCAGAACCATTTGTGGATTTTTTAAGATCCAGAACCAGGATAGACTAGTCTTCTATGGATAGGAGACTAGTCTTCTATGGATAGGACACAGGTCTTCCATGTATAGAATACCATTCTTCCATGGATAGAAGAACAGCCATCTATCGATAGAAGACCAGTCTTCTATGGACAGAAGGCCAGTCTTCTACGGATAGAAGCCAGTCTTCTACGGATAGAAACCAGTATTCTACGGATAGAAGACCAGTCTCTTATGGATAGAAAAACAGTCTCTTATGGATAGAAAACAACCTTCTATGGATAGGAGACTAGTCTTCAAGGGATAGGAGACTAGTCTTCTAGGGATAATAGACCAATCTTCTATGTATAGAGGACCAGTCTTCTATGGATATAAGGCTAGGCTTCTAGGAATGGAGGACTAGCCTTCTGGGGATAGAAGAGTAGGCATCTATGGATAGAAGACTAGGCTTCTATTGATAGATGTATAGGCTTCTATGGATGAAAGACCAGGCTTCTATGAATAGACGACCACGCTTCTATGGATAGAAGACTAGGCTTCTATGGTTAGACCACATGACATCTATGGATAGAAGGCTAGGCTTCTAGGAATAGAGGACTTGGCTTCTGGGGGTAGAAGACTAGGCATCTATGGATAGAAGACTAGGCTTCAATGGATAGAAGGCTTATATGAATAAAAGGTCGGTCTTCTGTGGATGGAAGACCAGAACTGACTTCCATAGATTAAATAATTGTCTTCTATAAGTGGAAGACGTGTCTTCTATTGGCGGAAGACCTTTCTTCTATATATATAGAAATTAAGCATTCTCCTATTTCTTCTTTTAAATATCTATTTTTGGAACACTTTTTAAAAGAGCTGCAACGGATTTTTTCATTAATGATTTAAATGCATTGTGATACGTTTTTAATTTTTCAATATGAATTGGTAATGATTTTCTTTGTTTGGTTTTAATAATTTTATAATTTTATGTACAACTCCATGTGCTATTTTAAAATTTTTTTTTTAATTTTTTTGGTGTTTCTTGTTAATATTTTTTTTTTCATGTTGTAATTTATATATTTATAATATATTTTATTGGGAATTTTATTTGGCTTAAGTGAAAAAGGATTTAATTGATTTATATTTACATAAGTTTTAGATATTTTTGTTAAATGTCTTCTCAAGCGTTTTTTTAATTCTTTTTTAAGCAATTAATTATTATTTATTAGAATTAGTGACTATTTTTTTTCTGGCGAATACCAAAAATGATGAGGATATTTTTGGATTAAAAATCAAGTCAATAATTTTGAAAAAAATAATAATTCATGCAGTGATAGCAGTTGCTTTGAATAACCCCTCTTCATTTTTGGCATCCCCATTTTTCTCTATAATTTTTTTTTATTATTTGCATCGTATTAACTCTACTGAAATATGACGTTTAGAACGTCAAACTCGCTCTGTATTGGATTTTTGTTTTATATATTTTTGTATTTGTTAATTTTTATTTATTACTACTACAAACTAAATTTATACTAAACTTTGATTTTCGGTTCTAGTTTCGGTTCATCATCATTTTATGAAATATTTTTTTCGCTTCCATTTTTATTATTTTTTAAATATGTGTTTTTTTTTAATTTCTAAGATATCATATCTACCACCTCGGCTACACAATTTGCAATTATATTTTATTTTTAATTTAGATATGTAACTACTACAACTAAATAATAAAAAACATTCATGTATATAAGAATTCCGTTCATAATTGCCATTTTTATATATAAAAAAAACCACATTCAATATACAAAATCTTATAATTAAACAAATATTTACACCTTCACCTCAATTTTCTCCATTTCACTTATTTGCCCCTTACTTGCCCCCTCAAAAATAATCCATTTGCGGTGCATCTAAGGCCGTGTGCAGTGTCAAAGTGACACCACGATTAATACTCACAGCTGGATAGAATACCCCATATAAATCACGGAATGCAATCGAACCCTGTGGCATTCCATTTACCAAAAAACTCAATGTATGCCGTTCCAAATTGAGCAGAACACCAATGGTACTGCCCGTACTGATGCCACCCTCCACTCGACGCTCATGCACTGAATTGTGCTGGAACCATGAACGCTGGCGATCAATGTACATGGCAAATGATTTTTCGTCTTTACCTGGAAGAATATGGAAGGAAAGAAGAAAGTTGGATTAATAAAATGAAAAATATTTTTTAATAATTTTTTTTTCTTATTCTGGTATAGTTTTAGGGGACACCCAAATCTTCTGGGAATGCATTGGAATTATTTCGGAAAAAGTTTTCAATTTACTGCTCAAAGAATTACGAATGTTATCTGAAATATTCCACATTGACTGGACTGCAATGCATGCATTGACTATTGTTAATGGATTTTCGAAAAAAACTTAAAGTTTCTTTTCAATACTTTTCCGTTATGCTTTGAATAGTTTGATACGTTTTTTGTCACCAAAAATTCGAGAGAAAAGTGTGAAAAAGAATTTAGAGGAAAAACATGCAGGAATGGGAAAACTTTAAATATATAAATAAAAAGGGAGGGTTTAAAAAAATCTCTCATGTACAAGAATTTTTAAAAATACTCAAGGGCCTAACAAAGGCGTGTGTTAGCGTAGGGGATGATAGATACCAAGCAACGGCTCTGATTGGCTTTAACATGGCAAAGTCCTGGCTTATCTTGGTCACTCTTTCATCTCAATTGTGGACACTGACGTCCCCGTGCTGCCACCTTGGGTAGCTATTTTCATCACCCAGGGACTGGCGTAAATAAATCAGATGATTACGCCCTGTATTATAGCTGCCATGAAACGATACGTGAATTTGGGTGCGGATTTATGGTTAACTGGAGAATAAAAGACCTCGTCTCCAGATTCACTCCAGTAGATGAGCGAATTGCTACAATCCGTAAAAAAGGGAAGTTCTTTTACATCAGTCTCATTTGCGTCTATGATCCGACTGAAGATAAAGATGAACAGGCCAAAGACATATATGAGCGCCTAGAAACAGCATATGACCGTTGCCTGGCCATGACATTACAATTCTGCTAGGAGATTTTAATGAAAAAATCGGAAGGGAAAATATCTTTGGCCCCACCGTCGGAAAATTCAGCCTCCATGAAGAAATATCAGACAACGGCATGAGGTTGAATGACTTCGCGGCAGCAAAAAACATGGTAGTTAGTGGCGCCAGATTCAAGCTTCTCGACATACACAAGGCCACTTGGATTTCTCCCGATCGAACAACGAGAAATCAAACCGATCATGTTGTGATAGACGGACGTTTTAGACGTCCGATCGATCCCAGGAGCGATTATCGATTCGGACCATTACCTTGTGGCAGCCAAGGTACGCATCCGTCTTAATGTAGCAGCAAAGGTGCAATCTAATGTAACACGGAAATTTGACGTCGACAAGCTGCAAACAACAGATAGCAGAAGCCTACCCCACTCAACTTACCCAACTGCTTAATGAAAGCAACCCTTGTCCCGATAATAATATAGAAGCACAGTGGCAGAGAATTGCCCATTGCCTACAAACTGCAGCAAAAGCAACACTTGGGTACCAAAGACCACCATCAAGAAACCCGTGGTACGATCAGGAGTGTCGTAATGCTACTGATATAACAGTACAGTAGCAACAAGTAATGTGATGGAGAACCATCGGGAGAAAAGGATAGAGGAGAAGCGTATTTTCTGAAAAAAGAAGAAATAAATAGAAAAACGTGAGCGTGAGCAAATCGAGATGTACAGGGGTCAGAATGAAGTCCGAAAATTCTACCAACGGTTAAAACACCAAACCGAAGGCTTTGGTGCAGGCACATCCTCCTGTAGAGATGACGAAGGAAACCTGGAGACAGATACAGACAGCGTGTTGAGGAACTGGAAGAAGCATTTTGAAAAGCTTCTGGTATCAAATAGTAGCGGTGAAGAGGATACCCCAGAACCAATAATAGATGACGGTATAGAGTGTATACCACCTAGCCAAGATGAATTCTGAATAAGAATCAATCGGCTGAGGAATAATAAAGCAGCAGGTGCCGATGGGTTGCCAGCCGATGTTGGTCAGGAGTATGCACCAGCTGATTAGTTCAATTTGGCTAGGGGAATGCATGCCCAATGATTGGAATCTCAGCATCCTATGTCCCGTGCACAAAAAATGAGACAATACGATATGTGCCAACTATAGAGGAATAGGAATCAGAATAGGAATCAATCGGCTAAGGAATAATAAAGCAGCAGGTGCCGATGGGTTACCAGCCGATGTTGGTCAGGAGTATGCACCAGCTGATTAGTACAATTTGGCTAGGGGAAAAACCCCAACACATTGGAACCTAGCATCCTATGCCCCGTGCACAGCCAGATCCGTCCAGACATATAGCCATGTCTGCGTGGCAATCCTGTAAAATTAATTGGCACATAACTTTGTCTCATTTTAGTCTTATTCCCATAGCATATATAGTGCTATCCAGCGTACTGTGTGAACGACTGAAGCCAATGGTCAATGACATTATTGGACCATACCAATGTGGCTTCAGACCTGGCAAATCCACAATTGACCAGATTTTCACTCTGCGCCAAATCCTGGAAAAAACCCATGAAAAACACGTCGACACATTCCACCTATTCGTTGACTATAAAGCCGCATTCGACAGCCCTATCCGTTCAGAGGTGTATAAAGCCATGTCTGCGTTTGGAATTCCTGCAAAATTTATACGGCTATGCAGGATAACTTTAACTGGTACAAGATCAGCAGTTAATGTCGGAAAGGACCTCTCGGAGCTCTTTAATACCGAACGAGGATTCAGACAGGGTGACAGTTTGTCGGTGACCTTTTTAACATCCTGCTGGAAAAGGTCATACGAGAGGCAAACGTGAACAGAAATGACACTATGTACAGCAAACAACACTTGTTACTCGTCTACGCTGATGACATCGACATAACGGAGGAGGAGTCTGCCAAAGCGGGTCTGGCAGTAAACGGCGAAAAGACCAAGCTGATGGTATGTTTCACGCGGAAGGGGAAGGCCAAGAATAAGATGGAAACATCAAGTGGAAGACAACATTGCCGAATATGGTCCTTCAAATTGGAAAAACTGCGCAAAAGACCGACGCGCCTCGAAATCTTTTTAAGCTGTTTATAGAACGAAAGTTCTGTGACAAGTAAAGTAAGTAAGTAACAAAGGCGTGGATTTTTAAAAATATTTTATACATAAAATATTCCTTGCATTTTCATTAAATAATATATGCTTTATTCGAAATATATATTGTTACACGCCCACAGAATTATCCACCTCTGCATTCAATATTCTATTGAGGAAACAATTGTTTCGTCTATTTTTTTATTTTTTCATTTTTATTGGCAAAACTTAAGTTTGGCATTTTTAGTAGACAATGACAATGATGATGACGCCTCAACACTCTGGAGAATGATATCGAAAACAATCTAGGAGCAGCAGCAGCAACACTCAAACAATGCTAAGAACAAAAGAGCATCAAATAAAAGGCGTGACAATAATCGCAAAACACTTTCGAAAAATAAAAACAGAAGAGAACAAAACTTCTAAGTAGCAACAATGGCTAGATTCAAAAGCGATGCATCGGAGGGTAAGGAAAATCCATAGAGTAATGTAAAATAAAACAAAAAAACTCTTAAGTTTGGCAACTAATCAGGGTATTGTTTTCAAAGCAACAACACCCACAAGAAACTGCGAAATGAGTAGAGAAAAGAAAAATAAACAAAAATAGAGGGAAGTCAAAATGTTCTTGCCAATTCTGATACAATTTTCAAATTAAGGCAATGAAAATTTGAAGCAAAAACAAAAAAAGAAAAAAAAACCAACATCCTTGGCAGGATTGGATGATTTCAAGATGCTTTGCCAATATCCTAGAATAGCTACGTGGAGCATCAAGCTATTGTTGTCATCATCTAGCTTGTGTTATTGTTTTCACTTTTCCAATTGAACTTTTTTTGGTTGGGAACAAAAAACATAGTCAGGCCAGAAAAGCAGCGAAAAACAATTTCGCGTATCAACCAAACGCGATTACTTATCGACACACACACTCACACTTTTAAAGTTTTAGCTATGGAAACGGAAATGGTATATTGGTATTAGGACGACATTGTAAAATCTGGTGAATAAGGAGTTGCGGAACGTAGGGGAGGTGGCATAATAAAAACTTGATTAAACCTTAAGTGTTTATTTGCTGTACAGCCGTCATCATCATCGTCGTCGTCGTGGCATGGAATGAAGAAACAAAAGGCCAATGACGAAGCCAATGAGTAAAGAGGAAATAAAATCGAATACTTAAGTGTTCGCAGGATGACAATGAAGGCTAAGAGGAGGCTGATGACAAAACAATAGCAAAAAAAAACCCTGGGTACTTGAAAAACAATTTCAATTTGAATTAAGTTTTGTGTTTGAAAGCTTAAGGAGGTAATGGAATCGTAAATTAATAAATTCTGAAAGAGAAAATAATTTAAACAGAGGAATGTGGAGTTTTTTTTATAAATCAAGAATCGATACAGGATTAAAAAAATAAAATTTTTCCAAAAAAGTTTTTGTCAAGGGCGAAGATTTTTTAGAAATATGTTGTAAAGGACCAAACAAGGCGTGAATTTTTTAAAAAACATGTTTTTATCTAGGCGCACATGGCGTGGATTTTTATACCCAACACAACTATGTTGCCAGGTTATTATATCTTTGTGCAGCCCCAAGAGTTTGTACCGCAGCGAAATATTGGTCCTAGACCCACCTTTAAGTATACCGATCGACATATCTAGACTAGCTGAGTCGATCTAGACATGTGTGTCCGCCCGTCTGTCCATTATAATTTGTAAACACGATACAGGCCACAGTTATGGACCAATCTTCACGAAATTTTGCATGCAGGATGGGTTCGGCCCAATGAAGACCCCTATTGTTTTTGGTAGAGATCGGCTAATATTAAGGGGATGAAATGAACCAAATACTTAATGTTTGTCGGTTTTTCTGGTCGCTCCTGAGGCCGCAGTTATGGCCCAAACATTTCGAATTTTTACATGGAGAAGGGGGTTAGACCAGAGCCTGTTTTCATAAAGATCGGTCAATATTTAGCGGGTCAAATGGTACCTGACTTTTGTGTGAAATATGACAAAATTTGTCTCC